GGGTAGGAGGCCCTGTGGCTGGAGTAGAGTGCATGAAGAGGAGAGATAAGAGGGTCTTTGGGGCCTTTTAGATCATTGTAAGGACTTTGGTTTTTGTTCTGTGTGAGGAGGGGAGGTGTTGCAGAGCTTTGAGCAGAGAAATGACACGATCTAATTTAACAGGAATTGTTTGACTTTTGTGTTGAGAATAGACTATAAAAGGATAAGAATAGATGCAAGGAGACTGGTTTGGAGACTATTGGAATTATCCAGGCCAGAGTGGCTCAGACCAAAGTGGAAGCAGTAGAGATAGTGAGAAGTAGCTAGGTTCTGGTTTATAAGTTGAAGGTAGAAGTAATAAAGTTTCCTAATGTATTGAATGCAGGGAATGAGAGAGAGCGGTCATGATTACTTACCTTAACGTTTTTTTTGTGTGTCTGAACAATTGGAATAATGAAATTTCCTTCAGCTTAGGTCAGAAGGCTATAGCTGGGGAGCAAATTTTGTTGGGGAGGTTGGGAGTTCAGTTTTGCACATAATTGAGTTTGAGATGCCATTCAGATATCCAGCTGGAGATGTTGAATAAGCAGTTGTGTGTGCCAGCACGGAGTTTGGGAGAGGGAGATTGAGAGTCTGTGGGATAGAGGTGCTGTATAATGTCTTGAGCCTGGGTAAAATCACCAAGGGAATGAGTGTCAGTAGAGAAGAGGAGAGGACCAAGGGCTTAGTCTTGTGGTACTACAGTGTTAACAGGTTGGGAGAAAAGGAGGAACCAGCAGGAGCCTGAGGAGCAATCCCTGAAGTAAAGGAAAAATAAGAGAGTAAGGTGTCCTGCTAGCCTCAGGAAGAAAGTATATCAAAGGGAGGGAATGTTCAGTAGTGTCAGTGGCTGGGAAAAGAGATGTGGCAATGTATGCAAATGGGTACATGTGAATGCAGACTCTGCATCCAGCTGGGTACAGTGCAGGTCAGTGGTGACCTCAGTGACAGCAGCTTCCTTGGACTGGTGGGTGAAAGACTGATTAAGGAGGGCTTAAGAGAGAATTAGAGGAAGGAATTGAAATACATTAAAATAGACAACTCTTGAGGAATTTTGCCACAAAGAGGTACAAAAATAAAAAAGGGGGAAAGAATGAAAAGTAAAAGGAATGGTAGTTAGTGGGAGAGGTGAAGTCAAGAGAAGGATTTTTTTAGATATGAGAAATAACAGCATATTTCTTTGTAGGAATGAACCAATCAAAAGCAAAACATTAATGGGTAAGGAGAAATAGAGGAGGCTTGCTGGAGTGCTGTTCTTGCGTAGGTGGTAGAGGGGATCTGCCCAAGTGGTAGAGTTGACTTTAGAAAGGAGCATGGAGAGTTTATCTGGTCAACAGGTGGAAGGAGGACAGAATGTGTGCTGGGAGCAGATAGATATGGTGGTGATGGTGGAAATTCTCTTCTGGGGGCTTTGGTTTTCTCAGTAAAGCTGAGGGGGGTGCTGGCGAGTTGAGGTTAGAGAAGGTGAGAAGTAGGAGTAGAGTCAGTGGACTAGGAAACTGTACTATCATGTTTATTTGCAGAATCCTGTGCAGTCCTCAGAGAGCACACGAGTTAGCTTTGCTCTGTGATATTAAATTCACAACATTAATGATTAAACTTTTTTTTTTTTTGGAGACAGAATCTTGCTCTGTTGCCCCAGCTAGAGTGCCGTGGCATCATCATAGCTCACTGCAACCTCAAACTCCTGGGCTCAAGCGATCCTCCTGCCTCAGCCTCCCAGGTAGCTGGGACTACAGGCACACGCCACCACACCCGCCTAATTTTTCTATTTTTACTAGAGACAAGGTCTTGCTCTTACTCAGGTTGATCTTGAACTTCTGAGCTCAAGCGATCATCCTGCCTCTTTAAACTTTGAAACAAAGCTGAGCTTCTCTTTGATAACATCTCTGTTAAAAGCAGCCCTTGAAGTACTTAATTTTATCTTGTACCTTTTATTTTGCAGAAAAACTATGGGCAAGCTGATGAAGATTGTAGACATGGTATGTTTAAAAATGAGACTCTATGCTGTTTTGAAAATTTTGAATTATTTAATTGAGCAATGGTTAAGGTTCGATTTTTTTTCCTATTTTCAAAAGTGATTATGATATTTAAAAAAGATACATCTTTGTGTGGTGATTAGTAACTGATTTGGATGATAATTTCCTGCTAGGATAGGAGCACATGTGAACATTGCTCCTATCCGTGAATGTTGGGGTTCTTCTCATTGCCCGATGTGGATAATATGTCCTTTTAAAGTTTGTATGAGTAGTTTTAGTCAATAAGAGCCAATGTTTAAGAAATGTTAACACACATTGATTAAAATGTTAAACTTGGATACATTGAAAAGGATGGGACTGTCTCATGTTTTTTCCCCCTTGATCAGAAGATTTTTCTTAGAAGAGACTGGGTAGACTGCTCTGCAGTGCTTTTTCCTGTTTTCTTTTGGGCAGGAAATTGAGATTAATAAGATTCTTGCTCTTTGAGTACTCATAGTATAGGAATTTTATTTTTGTGATTGTTATTTCACTAGAATGAGGCTAGGAAAGAGTTCAGTGTACATTCTCACACATACTTGGTGGCATTTTTTGCACAGCTCAGTGATTTGAATAATATAATGTTTCATTTATTCAGAATTTGGGGGTGGTGGCGCTGAAGTGTTTAACGTAAGTTGAATTTTTTCCTACTTACTCCTTTGTGTCAACACTTAGAAAAGCATTACCAATTTTTGTTGTAAACCTTACAAAACTATATTACATACTCCTGGGGTGTATTGAGCATAATTCAACCATTCATTAAAGATTCAGTGACCTTTTGGTGAACCTCACTTCATAGAATTATATGCTTTGGAAGTTAATTAGAATTTGAGAGATATCTAGTACAATATTCCTTTGGAAAAAAATCCCTGCTATCTATGGACATTTATTTCCTAGTAAGCAAATAGTAATAAATAATATAGAGGAATAGGAAGAAGGAAATAATTTCTCCTTCTCTCATCTGAAGAAATCATTGTTATTAGTTTGCTGTATGAGAAAAATCTTTTGCACCTTTCTCTGTAGTGATAAATACAAATGCTTATAAAGTTTTTCCTTTAAAAATTAAAAAAGAATTATGTGATCATCACAAAGCATGTTGCTTTTTTGTGCATCAATAGATCATGAATATCTTTCTAAATTAATACACTAGCTCCAATTCCTGCTTAATATTCCATAGTGTGGATGTCCTAGAATTTATTCAACCATTCCCTTGTTAATGGGCATTCAGGTGGTTCTAGTTTTCTAGTTTGTCATTATAAACCATCCTGTATTAAATATATATTCTTTATTACTTTTGCCCTTGTTTCTGTAGGATAGTCTTTAAAGATGGATTTCTAGGTTAAGGAATATGTATACTTATAATTTTAATAGACACTGTCAGATTAGTTTCAGATGCACAAACCCACAGCAATGTATGATAATGCCTAGTCCTTGTAATCTCATTATCTCTGGAACCTGTCAGTCTTGAAATTTCACCAGTCTCGTGTGAAAAGTAGTCCATCTTTCTTTAATTATCACTTCCCTGAGAACTAGTGAAGTTGATGCGGTCTTCTTATTTTGGAGATGTACAAACAAAAGTCCTGGAAGGTTAAATGACTTCTGAAAAGTCACAGAAATGTAAATGCTCTTGGTGAAAGAAAAGTGTTACATCTTTATTTGTTGTTGTTTTATTAATGTTTAGCATTTTAAAACTAGGTCCTATTTTACAACTTTTATATTACCAAAATAAAAGTTTAACCAATGTCTAAGATAAAATTGTGATGAGTGTACTCTTGTGGTTTTGATGGAGTATGAAGTGGAATGCGGCTTAGTAATATGTTCATGCCCTTTGACCCACTAATCTCATTTCTGGGATAGTATCCCAAGTAAATAATCCCAAAGAGGAAAAGAATTGTACTCAGAGTGGTGTTCATTGCAGTGTTGTGTGTAAAAGTGAAAAATCGGTTAGCTTGCAATAAGGCAGGAGTTGATTAATTACATTCTGTATATTCCTTGTTCCTCTTTATGTGATAAGTAAGAACTTGGAAAATAGTCATTTTTTTATTAAATGCAAAAGTAATGTATACGAAGTTGTTCATTTGAAAAAGACATTTGGAAATATTGGCTAAGATTATATATGTGTATTGGTGGTTATAGAGTTCTGTTATTATATGTATTTTTTTCCAACTTTTAGTAACATTATTTTTGTGTAAGATAAAATACTATGGGTAGGCAGGCAGTCAGTTACTAATAAAAAGCCAGATGAGAACCTTGGGCTTTGTTGATTATTATAGTGCTTTACTGTAATGTTGAGAAGATTCCAAGGATAGCTGTGGATAGCTCCTATCTTTAGCAGCCCAGACCGTTGACTTCTTATGTTTGCATTTTATGTACAGCGTAGTCTTGATGTCTGTTCTCTTACTGTCAGGCTATCAGTTTGCAGTCCTTGGAACTCTCAGCCTGCCTCACTGTAGCTACCCTCCCCCTCTTCTCTACTCGCTGCTTCTGACCTACTGTCGGTTAGGAAATCAGACCAGCAGTCTTTGTCATCGAATTAAAAAACCTTAAAATTTTTTTTATTATGAAAAATTTAAAACATACAGGAAGGTAGAGGAAATATTATAGTAAACATTCATATTTTCAAAAATATGTTTGAACAATTAATGTTTTGCTATATTTACTTTATTCATTTTTTTCTGAAATACTTTTAAAATAATTACAGATAACCATGACATTTACCCCTAAGTACTTCAGTATGCATCCCTAAAAAATAAGGCCATTACTGTATAACCACAGTATTGTTATTAACCTAATAATATTGACAGTAATTCCCTAATAATATCTAAAATCCAATCCATAATCAGATTTACCTGGTTATTCCCAGAATGTATATTATAGCTGATTTGTTTAGACCAGGAACTAATCAAAGGTTATAAAATTTTAAAGTTGGAATTCTACTTCAATAAGAGTAAATAGACTTTGAGGGAGGACTCAAGGGCATCTTGAAAATAAAGTACATAGGCTTTAAGTTCATGGATTTTAATTCCAAGTTCAGTGTTGTGTTCTGGATAGTGAAGATTGCCAAGCCAGTGACTACCAGTTAAGTGAGGTGGTTAAATTAGTTTTCATTATCTGAATATAAATTGTATTCAGCAACAGGAAAAATTCCAGGAGATAATGATTATTTTTCTGCCTTTGAAATATTGATTATATAGAAAACTTACTTTTTTTTTAAACACTGAAAGAATGAATGAGGT